GGATAACTTTCCAAGTGTTCCGCATACCTCTAGACTCCAAAAACTACAGTCTTTCAAATACTGTACCTGATAATCTACTAATAAAACCAAGTCTCTCTCTCGCTCTCTCTCTCACACACACACACACACACACACACACACACACGACAGAAACACACTGTATTAGGCTTGCTTCTACAACCATGTAAATTAGGATAACTTTCCAAGTGTTCCGCATACCTCTAGACTCCAAAAACTACAGTCTTTCAAATACTGTACCTGATAATCTACTAATAAAACCAAGTCTCAAAGATACCTAGTTTTCCCAAGTAGGCTCTATTTATAAATGCAGGCCTCTAAAACATGAAACAAAATACCGAATATAAAAAGCACTATAATTCCTGGGCGTGGTGGTACACCCCTATAATCCCAGCACTCAGGAGACTGAGGCAGAAGAACCACTGTGAGTTCAAGGTTAGTCTGGGCCACACAGTGATTTTAACACCAGCTTGAATTAAGAGTGAGACCCTATCTCAAAAAGCAAAACAAACAAACAAAAAACCCTGCAATTTAAATTAAATACTTCCTGGGTTAACAAGGAACTACCAAATTTAAGAAACATTTTATTTTAGAGTACTCTTAGATTTACTGAAAATCTGCAAAAGGTAGTCCAGTACTCTCATACACTACAACCCCAGTTATCCTATTACTAACATTTTACATTAGCATAATACATTTGTCACAATTGGTGAACCAATATTGATACATTGTTACTAAAGTTCATGATTTAATCAGATTTTCTGAGTTTCTTCCTAATATCCTTTATCTATTCCAAGGTCCCATCAAATATACCAAATTGCAATTTAGTCATGTCTCCTAAAGCTCCTCTTGATAACGGTCTGCTAATATAACAGACTTTGTTACCGTTTCTCAGACTTGTTATTCATTATCCTCACAATTTTGGGGGTTGGTTTGTGGTTTTTTTGGGGGGGTTGGTTTTTTGAGACAGGGTCTCACTTTGTGATTCAGGCTGGCCTTGAACTGACTATGTAGCTCAGGCTGGCCTGGAACTTCCAGCAATCCTCCTGCCTCAGCCTCTGGAGAGCTGGAACTACAGTCATGTACATCAAACCTGGCTATCCTGACTATTTTGAAGAATACAGGTCAGGTGTTGTGTAAAATGCTCCTCAACTAAGATTTATCTGATTTATCATGACTGTACTAGGTTCATGGTTTCCTGGTGAAAAGACCACAAAAGTAAAGGCACATTCTTATAACATCTTATTAAGGGTACATACTATTAACATGACCTATCGCTGTTGATAGCAACCTCCACTTTGACCAAGCTAAAGTAATGCTTTAAGGCTCCTCTGCTATAGTTTTTTGTTTTGGTGTGTGCGTAGGGGGTGCTGTTTTTCAATTCTGGAGATTGAACCCAGGGGTGCTCTACTACTAAGCTGCATTTCCTGACGCCCTGAATTAAAGTCTCACTAAACTGCCCAGGCCGGCCTTAAACTTGAATCTTTCTCCCTTACCCTCCCCACTCCAAGTAGCTGGGATTACAGGCATCACCACCCCATCCGGCTACTACAGTTATTTTCAATACCTTTCCATACTGTACTCTTTGGAAAGAAGTTACTGTGTATAGCTCACACTTAAGGACTAGGGAGTTACATTCTACCTTGGTAAGAGTGGAATATTTACATAAATTACACATTTAGAACTCTTTTGCATGAGAGATTTGTCTATCCTCCATGCAACAAATCATTTACTTATACCATGAGTAGGAACTCTTGAATATTCATTTTATACTTTGGGTTATAATCCAGTATTATTTTGTTTTGCTGATCAAATTATCCCAGCTTTGACCACTGGGAGCTCTTTCAGTTGATTCCCATGCTCCTTTAGCACACTACCATCATTGAGCAAGAGGTAATGAGTACCCCTTTTACACTTTCTAACAAAACCATATACTCTAGGGGCTGGGGATTTAGCTCAGCGGCAAAGCGCCTGCCTGGCAAGAGCAAGGTCATGAGTTCGGTTCCCGGTACTGGAGAAAAACCAAAAAAAAAAAAAAAAAAAAAAAAACCATATACTCTAGGCTCATCTACAGTGTTCTCTGCCTCAGCCCTAGAATCAGTCATACCTCCAAGAAGTACCAAGCTTAAACATTCATGAAGACCCATACTTTCCAAATATAAACAGATGAGTTTGTAACTTTGTAACTAACGATAACTCTTTAGTTAAGGTTTTCCCCCAGTAGAACATAAGGAAGATTACCTAGGGGTAAGTGTGGGGTCATGCTGGTTTTTTGTCCCCTTCATTTTTTGGTTTTTTGGTTTTTGTTTTTTGAGACAGGGTCTCACAGGTATAGTTCAGGCTGTCTTTGAACTCACTAGGTTGACCTCACTGGCCTTGAATTCACAGCAACCCTCCTGCCTCAACCTCCCAAATGTTATAATTACAGGTGTGCATCACCAAGTCAGGCTCACACTTCTGTTTTCTAAACTCTGATGCCCGAGAAATGCATGCATAAAGTACCAAGCCTACTGAGGACTCAAAGTTTTGTGAGCAGCACTTTTAGGTATTTATACTCCTAAGCCTGCCGGAACTTCACAAACTTACAAACTACAAGTTTCCCTAAAAAAAAAAAAGGTCAAAGATGGTTCCAAAACAACAGGCTGGGACTCTAATACAGAACAGATATCGCTGATAAAAGCTAAAGAAAAGACAAGTGTCTTCTTCGGGCAATCCCAGAAGCCTCTTTTACCAAAGCAGACTGGATCAAAATCCAAAACTGCAAGCAAAATCATTCATAGTTAGGTTTTAGAAACTCATAACAAGATTTTGGTACAAACTTTGAGGCAGAGCACACAAGGACTTTTCAGTCCTCTTTTAACAGATTAAGACTAGAAATGGTCAGATTAATGATAAGAATGCCACTGGATCAGCTAATAGGTTATTCAGATGAATTACAACAGAATATTGTCAAAGAACTCTAAAATAATAAACTTAAAAACCCCATGATTCTTCAAATTCAAAGCCTGACATTTCCTCCTATAGTAAATCTACAAAGAATTCAGATCCTAGAAAAATGTCCCTTAAAAAGCTGAGAAAGGGGTCCAACAAGCCAAGTTAAAGACACAGTAAAGAGATACAACTGAGCACTTTATAGC